AGAGAGGCTAGAGGCCAGCGTACGCGGATAGCACGGCGGAGATGACATGGGGGCTGGGGTGGAACTGACGGCGCGAGCCCGAGAAGAGGGAGAATGCAAGGTCCGGGCGCGGCCGCGCGAGGGCGGAGACGAGGACGACGTAGGTGTGGAGGTTGGCACTGGGTAGGTGGGCGCAGAAGGCGCGGAGCGCGTCGGCGAGGCGGCCCGCGGCGGCGTAGAGGGAGACGAGCTGCGTGAGGAGGACCGGGTGCGGGTGAGGGCGCGCGCCAGCAGAGACGAGGAGGCGGGCGTGGAGCTGCGCGGCGTGAGCGGGGTGTTGGAGGCGCGCGCGGCGCAGCGCGGAGAGGAGGGCCGTCAGCTCGTGGACGCTGCCGCCTCCCGTGCTCATGCATGCTCGGCTGGAGGACGGGATAACCAGATGGGGAATTAGGGATTGAGGAATTAGGGTTAGGATGGCGCGTTATATACCTCCATGACTTACTGGGCCTTTACATGGGCTGGCACCGCTGCCTGCTACGTGCTTCGCGGGGCGGGTTGGCGGGGATTGGGGTCGGGGACCAGGCAACCATCCCCGTCCCGCCATCCCGACGGGGACAGCCTTCCTACCAAATGTTTCCCCGTGGGGATTAATTCTCCTCCATCCCCGTCCCCTAATGGAAGAATTCACCGTAGGGAATCGAGGATCGGGTCCCGTTGACATCTTTAGTCCCAACCACGCCTTATAAATTAATTTCTAAATACGGATGGTGTTTCTAACTGTCTCTAGAAATGCCACCTTTTTTAAGGTGGTTGAAAACACCATCGGTTGGTTTTATCAACCGTTTGTGAAAATAGAGAAGATTTTTAGAGGTGGCTAACTGTTTCTAGAAATTGATTTCTAGAGACAAGTCTCTCTAAAACCAATTTTAGAGGTGGTTTTAGCTTAGTGCTAGCTGGTCATCCGAGATACAGAGAAACTCCAAAGAAGAACAACAGGAGCACAATAAAAAGAGGAATCCAACCCATATGGTTCTCTCTTGTACCTTATGCTCTACCGGAAAATGAGCACATATTAAAGGAACAAGTGCGTGCTTTGACTATTCCTCGGGAGGTTGATCTTGGATCTACACGAAATCTGAGTGGACTTGCCCATTCTTTAGGTTCAACTTGCGGAAATTAAAGACTGGTCTGATCGTCATCAACGAAGACATCATGCAAATAAAGAGCTCTTTTATAATGGTTGAAAAACTACCATCGGTACTTCCATGTACTTTCATTTTTATTATTTTCTAGCCAATTGGTCAAGGAAGATTATTTATGAAAGGTCATTTTTATCGTAGAGGATATATTAGTAATTGGGGTTTTGTCCTTTCTCCGACTAGGCAGCACGATGCCTCGCTGGCTCGCTCTCACGTCTCAAACTAGCCAGCCGCAGTCCGAAGATGCCTTCTACTCAGGGCAGCCGGCGCTGCCGCCTTCCGCTAGCCCCTAGCCACCGCTACCGCTGCCTCCGCCGGTGACGCCGTGCTGCTCGACGAGCCTGCCAACACCTACTCCATACTGCTGTACCTTCAAGGTTAGCAGCCATGGCGATGTTGATGTCGAGGTACGGACGGTGGCGGCGCGTCTCCGAAGTGGCCACTGGTGAGGCTACTACCGTGCTCGCTGGATCCGTGATCCGACTCCGATCTCCGGTGAGCTAGTACGCGAACTGGTGGATGAACCGGTGTATGCTTGGGCGTTCTGGTGCATGAAGAAGCAGAATGTGCTGGTATGGGCGGAGCGGACGATGCACTGCACGCTACACCTATACGCCGCTGTCTTCCCGCCTCCGTCCCGTGCATGTGCCGGCCCCCGAGCTCCCAGTGGGGGGGCGTCTGGGAGGGGCCTGGCACCCCCCAACCTTCCCGTGTCCCCATAATACACTTCCTTAAATTAGCTCGTTAATCTTTCAATTAGTTCTAATTAGCTAGTTAATGATGCTAATTAGTTCTTTAATTGCTTGTTCTCGCTTTGTGTTTCTCTAATGACATCTATATAATTCTCAATCTCTTTATTCCGGTGTGATTTTTGTACCCAAATGTTCTGGTCAGTCCTCATGGTACAACACTAATTAGTTAGTTAATGAATGAAATTAGCGCTTTGCTTGTTTGCGCTCCACCGTATTGATCTTTAATGTCATCTATATTATTTAAGATTAGTTTTCATGTTATCTTTCTCGTCTTCTTTACCATGATTTTTTTTTCAGGCCTAAAAATTAGATTGATCAACAAGAGGCTAGAGATTAGTCCAATTAAATTTTGTTCTCTTTTACTCTGTATGATGGTTGCTGATTTGAATGCCCCCCTGTATGTTCAAATCCTGGCTCCGCCCCTGCTCCCAGAGATGCCCTACGACGGTTGCACATTGGCTCCCCCACCGCCATCAGATCTCAGCAGGGACGGACTCACGGCGATGGCGGCGCAGCCGGTTGCCGTCGGCACAGCGGCGGCAGTGGTCCGGGTGTTCCCAGCCCCGGGGAGAAGAAAACAGAGTGAGAACGGGCTTAGATCGAGACAGATGGGATACAAAGTCTCGGTTTTGCCCTTGAATGAAAATACGGAAATTACACAAATGACCTTTTATCTGAAAAAATAAATAATAAATAGAGAAAACTCCAAAACTGATCACCTATTTTGGTGCTGATCCCATCTATTTTTGGTACCGTCCCTATCTATTTGGAACTTCTAAGTACTTTTAGATGAGTACCTCCTATTTTTATACCGTCCGATCTTGGTCTATGGATAGTTTATACTTTTTCTAACCATTGTAAAATTTCTCGCAAATAAATCTTAGGGCCTGTTTGATCATCGGACTAAAGTTTAGTCCTTCGTTGGATAATAGGCAAAACATGAATTAGTTATTTTTTTAATATAAGTTCTACTCATCAATTAGCCTCTATTATATTAGTTTTTGTTAAACCTTAATTAGTTCATGTTTAGCTATTCTATTTGGCATCGAAAAACATGAACAAAAGTTTAATTTAGTCTATTCAAGCACCCCTAATGTAACAGCAACTTATAGCGTCGGCTTAGAACCGTTGCAGGTTGTAGTCAAGTTGTTAACTTTTTTTCTAGTTTATCCTTGGGGTAGCTGCTACGGACCGTAAGGCTCTCTACAACAAAAGTACACATAGTACAAGGAGACAGAGAAGGTAATTTTTTTTTAGATAATGGAACAAAGCCTCTACTATCCGCACAGATGATACACAACTCAGCACAGAGAAGGTAATGTCGCTGGCGCTGCATCCGGTCAGGAGTTACCGCCGCCAAAGCGGACGAATCCGACGGTGTGACATCCCAGCCACACTACGCGGCTGCGTTCCTCCAGTTGAAGAGGTTGCGTTCCTCCACCAGGCCCGCGGTCGCCGCCGCGAAGGCCTTCGCCTCAGCGGGAGCCTGGAGAAGAAACCCGCAGCGTAGGGGAAGTAGACCATCGACAGCTCAAAATCAGACAGGTATGCCTGGGCGCCCCGACCTCCGCCTCCTCTGCCCGCCCGCATGCTTTGATGGGATGGTGATGAAACAATTTGCCATTCATTTATGCATTACAAGGCACAATGACTAAGAATCTTCTAAGAATTTTTGCTCTGTTATTCAGTTCACAGCAGGTTGACAGTAACAGTGCAGTGCAGGTGCAGCTTGGATTGGGGGCTTGGTTATTCATGGTGCAGCAACAACTTGAGGTCGACAGCAGCAGCAGGTGAGCGGTGACAGTAGCTTGCACGTCTTGGCTGGTTTGTTCTCTGAATTCTCAGTTTGGTTCAAAGCAACTCAGCTTGGATTCATGTTGTTCAATACTGTCTGTGGACAATCACTGTGTTCGTTCTGAAACTGCAGTTCAGTTTTAACTGTCACACAAGTTCTCTTGTCCACTGATTTTTGACTGTAGCATGTTCAGTTTTCTTGTCTGAACTGTTGCTCGAGTTTTCTAGTTATGCGTCGTGTTTAGTTCAGAGCAACAGCAGCCTACTATTGTCAGATCAACAACAGTTTGTTCTGCTCAACTGAAGTAGCTAGTATTTTGTTGTGTGATCTGAATTCTTGGACAGCTTTGTGTTCTTTTGCGACTGTGTTTGTGCTTCCATTATCATCTGTTCAGTGTAACTTCAGACGACAACATTGGTTCGAAGCAACCCAGCTTGGATTCATTCTGTTCAATACTGTCTGTGGAAAATCACTGTGTTCGTTCTGAAAGTGCAGTTCAGTTTGAACTGTCACTCAAGTTCTCTTGTCCACTGATTTTGACTGTAGCATGTTCAGTTTTCTTGTCTGAACTGTTGCTCGAATTTTCTAGTCATCCGTCATGTTTAGTTCTGAGCAGTAGCAGCCTACTATTGTCAGATCAACAACAGTTTGTTCTGCTCAACTGAAGTAGCTAGTATTTTGTTGTGATCTGAATTCTTGGATAGCTTTGTGTTCTTTTGCGACTGTGTTTGTGCTTCGATTATCATCTGTTCAGTGTAACTTCAGACTGACAACAGCAGCGGCTGGTGTCCATCTCCTCTTCCTCAGGTAAGCAGCAACATTATCAGTTGTCACATAAGTGATGGGACTAATCTACAAAAGGTTTCATGTACTGTTAACTAAAGTAGTACCCGTTACATTATCCACTGTGTACTGATGAGATTCTTGAATGGAATATGGCAACTCATGGGAAATTTTTGTCATCCAAAACGGTAGATCTATATAATTGTCCCTGGTTTCCTACTGCTGTGGGCAAGAGAAAGTAATTGTTTCCTACTGGCCTGCTGAATTAATCAGGTTAACATTGATCTGGATAATCCAACAACTTTGATGGTTTTCTTCAAAAACAACTTTGATGGTACATTGCAAGTAGTAAGCGAGCACCAATGTCGTCATATATATATATATATATATATATATATATATATATATATATATATATATAGATATATAGATCGCAGTATACCACGAAATTTCTGCAACAAACCTCATCAGTCATCACTAGGGGCGACTGGAATGACAAAACTTTTGTGCCTTACTGCCCTGATCTTCCCCATTATCCTTTGCCTCACAACATCCGCCGCCGGCAGCGCGTCTGACACACTCGACAGCAGCAACAACATCACCGACGGTGCAACGCTGGTCTCGGCCGGCGGGTCCTTCACCCTTGGTTTCTTCTCCCCGACCGGGGTGCCAACCAAGAGATACCTCGGGATCTGGTTCACCGCGTCGCCGGAGGCCATCTGTTGGGTGGCCAACCGTGAAACGTTCCTCAGCAACACCTCAGGAGTTGGAGTACTGGTCATCGGCAGCACCGGGAGCCTTCGCCTTCTCGACGGTTCTGGCCGCACAGCATGGTCTGCCAACACGACGAGTTCTTCTGCTCCTGTCGTGGCGCAGGCGCGGCTGCTTGAGTCTGGCAACCTAGTGGTGCAAGACCAGAGCGGCGGCGACGTGCTTTGGCAGTCATTCGACCACCCGTCGAACACCTTGCTCGCCGGCATGAGATTCGGTAAGGACCCGCAGACCGGCGCCGAGTGGTTCCTCACGTCGTGGCGTGCGTCGAACGACCCAACGCCGGGGGACTACCGTCGCGTGCTGGACACCAGGGGCCTCCTGGACTCCGTCTCGTGGAAAGGCAACGCCAAGAAGTACCGAACCGGCCCCTGGAACGGGCTGTGGTTCAGTGGCATCCCGGAGACGGCGTCGTACAAGGAGATGTACTCCGCTCAGGTCGTCGTCCGGCCCGACGAGATTGCATACATCTTCAACGCCTCGGCCGGCGCGCCCTTCTGCCGCCTTGTACTGAATGAGGTCGGCGTGGTGCAGCAGCTGGGGTGGGACCCGGTCAGCCGGGTGTGGAACGTCTTCACGCAGGCGCCGAGGGACGTCTGCGACGACTACGCCAAGTGCGGCGCGTTCGGCCTGTGCAACGTGAACACGGCGTCCACGCTGTTCTGCGGCTGCGTCGTGGGGTTCAGCCCCGTGAACCCTTCGCAGTGGTCCATGAGGGAGACCCGTGGCGGATGCCGGAGGAACGTGCCGCTGGAGTGTGGCAACAGGACGACGACGGACGGGTTCAAGACGGTGCGGGCGGTGAAGCTCCCCGACACGTACAACGCTACGGTGGACATGGGCGCGACGCTGGAGCAGTGCAGGGCGAGGTGTCTCGCCAACTGCTCGTGCGTGGCCTATGCTGCCGCCGACATCCGAGGAGGCGGTGATGGCACTGGCTGCGTCATGTGGAAGGATAACATTGTTGATGTCCGGTACGTAGACAAGGGGCAGGATCTCTACCTGAGGTTGGCCAAGTCTGAATTAGGTAAGCACAGCTACATCTCCCAGAGTCCCAGTGTGAACCATGAGCAAGTTTCATCATCTATATATTCCCATGGTGCAACATGCATGTTTCTGCAGTTGAGAAGAAGAAGAGGAATGTGGTACTAATAATCTTGCCACCAGTTACGGCATGTCTGCTTGCGCTCATGGGGATGTTCCTTGTTTGGATATGGCGCCAGCGCAAGCTTAGAGGTAAAACCAGAGTCACTTCACTACTCGGAAGTCAATGATGATTCGTACTGAACAACAACATTAAAATTTCTGTTAGGCAAACGTCGAAACATGGATATACAGAAGAAGATGATGGCAGGGCACTTGGATGAGACAAATACACTTGGTGATGAAAATCTCGACCTTCCATTTTTTAGCTTTGGAGATATTGTTTCTGCAACAAATAATTTTGCTGAAGACAATCTGCTCGGACAAGGAGGCTTCGGGAAAGTTTATAAGGTAATAAAAATAAATCTTTTAAACCATGACAGCCAGCATGGAAATTATAAGATTGCTTGTTCAATTTAATGATGGTGAGATCAGGGTATTCTGGGCGAAAACAGAGAGGTTGCAATCAAAAGGCTCAGTCAGGGCTCTGGACAAGGCATAGAGGAATTTAGAAATGAAGTAGTTCTAATTGCCAAATTGCAGCATAGAAACCTTGTTAGGCTCCTTGGTTGCTGCATTCATGGAGATGAGAAGTTGCTAATTTACGAATATTTACCAAACAAAAGCTTGGATTGCTTCATTTTCGGTATGTATAAACTAGTTGTATTTTATACAGAGGAAAAGAAGAAGGTAGTCATAGTTACTACTCTAATTTGCTTGCTTACTTTACTTATAATACCGTATATAGATGCTGCAAGGAAAAAAGTTCTTGATTGGCCAACAAGGTTCAGGATAATCAAAGGAATATCAAGGGGAGTTCTTTATCTGCACGAGGATTCAAGATTGACAATTGTGCACCGAGACCTCAAAACAAGCAACATATTGTTGGATATAGATATGAACCCTAAGATATCAGATTTTGGTATGGCAAGAATCTTTGGAGGGAACCAACAAGAAGCAAATACTAACACAGTTGTTGGGACATAGTAAGTAATCATCCATGCCTCTATGTTTTCTCATTTTCCTATACCTATCCAATTTTTTTACATACATACTGCTAATTATTTTTAAGCAGTGGTTACATGTCTCCTGAATATGCAATGGATGGAGCTTTTTCTGTCATGTCTGATACATATAGCCTTGGTGTTATACTGTTGGAGATCATAAGTGGTATGAAGATCACTTCGACTCACTCCACGAGCTTTCGTAACCTATTAGCTTATGTAAGTATAATGGCATTCTTCAAATTTTACAAATTCAAACAAAACATGCCGATATTCTATGAATTTTTCTTGAATTGGTCCAGGCATGGAGCTTATGGATTGATGGCAAGGCAATGGATTTGGTGGACTCATCCCTTGTCGAGAGTTGTTTACCGAATGAAGCTTTGAGGTGCATCCACATAGGACTCTTGTGTGTGCAAGACAATCCAAATAGTAGGCCACTTATGTCAACGGTTGTGTTCATGTTGGAGAATGAAACCACATTACTTTCAACCCCAAAACAGCCCCTATACATCTCACAATGGTATTTAGAAGCCCAAGGAACAGGAGAAAAATACAACAGTTCCATGATGGATAGCATAAGTGTCTCAGTGTTGGAAGGATGATAATGGTAAGTGATTAGGTTACATGTGTTTCATTGGAGTCAATTGCATCGTTGTGATGACAAGAAAGAATGTATCATCTTTGCTTGCCGCACATTGGAGTCCGCGGTAATGGCCTTCTTCGCCTTACATGGGTGGCCTTATGTCTTTTGGCGGCTTACAAACTAAGTTTTATTTGGCGTGTGAGACTCTTTCATTTTAAGCTTTTGTGTCCTCTAATATTTTTGGTCTGATTCCCCAATTGTGAGGATGAAGCAGGATGTTCTTCCATTATCTAAAAAATAGTATATTGGGACAAGAGATGGAGTACAACTAGTACTAGGTTACTCCCTTCGTCTCAAAATAAATCAATTTCTAGAGTTATTCTAAGTCAAATTGTTTTAAGTTTGTTCGAATTTATAGGAAAGAACACTAAGATTTATGGTACAAATTAATATAATTGTAAGATTATTTGAAATATATTTTCATAATATGTTCATTTTGGTGTCATAAATATTATTGTATTTTTCTATAAGTTTAGACAAAATTGAAAAAATTGACTTAAGACACTTTAAGAATTGATTTATTTAGGGACTGAAGGAGTATATATTTTTAGAACAGTCATTACATGGTTTTAGGACACCTTAGCTCGTTATTGTATGAAATAATGGAAATGGCACAAGACGACGCCTTGTGAAACTGTTGTGTGCCACCGCCGGGTCTCCGACGCTGGCCCCTTGGTCTCTCGCTCTGGGCCGCTGGGCTAGGCCGAAAACACTCGAAGAGGGTCCAATAAGTCCAACAGACTCGTCTCTTTTTTTTCCCTTCTCGAATACGCAGAACGACAAATCTTGCTGGCGCCGGCGCACGCGGCACGCCTACTGCTCAGCTTCATGCAATCGTGCTTGATCGTGTAAAGGGTCTGTGCTGTCGCAAAAGCATCTGGCGTTCAGGTCGGCCGCTGCCACCAGTAGTCAAGGATGCACACTTTAACTTCATTCCCCGGCCGGTTGGCGGCGGCGGCATTGCATTGTCTTCCCGATGACCGATAGCACGTTACACTTACACCAGATTTAGTGCCTATAGTGAACCAGCAGAACATGATGATGGGCCTCATGCACAGGGGAGGGGACAATGCCTCTGCTTGTGTTGTGTCCACTGGCCATTGGATTGGCATGCAATCACAGCTCAAAGCGAAGAGGAGGACGACAACGGGGAGCTACAGCCAGGCCTATGCTTGGGTTGTTGTGGCGCAGCTGTTTGACTCCAGACTCCGGCAACCTGGTCGTGCGCAAGCAGGGCAGCGGCGACGTGCTGTGGCGGCTGTCGTTCGATCACCCGTCGAACACCTTGCTCGCCGGCATGAGACTCGGCAAAGACCCTCAGACTGGAGCCGAGTGGTACCTCACTGCACTGGGTTCTCCTTTGCCGTGTGAACTTGTTCCGAGAGTCACGCTAATTTGGTGATTGAGGATTGCCACGGTAAAATTAAAACACACCCTATCAGTAATTTTCGAATGTTTATACCGCCTGACACTGAACAAGGAGAGGTCAAAGTCAAAGCCATGAAACTTTATTTTCGTCGGCTATTAGCTTTGAACCGTCGACGGAACAGGTTTAGCTTTTGGTCCGACGTTGGGCACGTAGGCGTCTTGTGGGACAGACGACCACAGGCGTGTGCTTGTCAGCCGGGGCCGTAACGTGCTGGGATATCAGCACGGCATATCGCGGTGTTCCTATGGTTGGCTAGGCCACCGAAGAGACACACAGACACACGGTATAATTGGGCTATAGATGGCCTAACGCCTCACTCAAAACAGCACAACCCAGGTCTGGCCTGGTACTAAGGCCCTGTTTGGTTTTCATAAATCAGGTGACTTATTAAGTCAGGTGACTTATTAAGTCAGGTGACTAAAAATCAGTGACTTATAAGTCATGCCTGTTTGGTTGTAGATGACTTATAAGCTGTGGGCCCCACATGGAAAAGTGTGGCTTATAAGTTTTAAGCAGGGGTGACTTATAAGTTGGTGGTGTTTGGCAAAATCAGTCACTTATTTCACTTTTTAACTTATAAGTAGGTAACTCATTGTGCCTATACCTACGCCTGCTATGACCCGGTCATAGTCCCATGTCTAGGCCGTGTTCTCGGCCCACAGTGACGACACGGCAATAATGACACCGCTAAATAGGTTGGGACCATACCGACCTGGTTGCGGTAATGGCAGAGTTAGAGCGTCCGTCCGCTTGGAAGCTGGCTCCCTGCACCTGCGGACCAGCCCAGCATGCTCCCCTCACGTTTCATCTAAAAATAATGAACGTAATTTTCTTCCTCCTTGCCTAGTCGCTCGCCGCGCCACGACATACGCACCGTCCACCGAGCCCCGCTCCACTCCACGTCGCTCCCCGATGCCGTACTCTCCGCCTCCCCCCGCACCCTCCTCCATCCTCTATCTCCACCGCATCCGAGCGCCGACGGCCGCCTTCCTCCCTCTGCACCGCGCTCACCGAGCGCTTCATGGCCACAGGCGTCAGCCGCCGCGTGTGCCCAAGCGGCCAGGAGAGGGGCCGTCGCTGGCCAGGTGTAGGCGCAGCTAGACGCTGCCAGGTCGCGCCACCATCCTCGGCCGTCGGCTGGCCAGAACCAACTGTTCCCCGGTCTTCTTTGTGTCGTCCGGAAGAAGAAGGGCGAACAACGCATATTTCGATAGTATGTTTCAAGTGTTTCAGATGTTCCATCGGTACGGTGCAAGTGTTTCGTATGGATGTTGCATAAGTAGATCGGGATGTTGCATATTTGCAATGGTTGTACATGTATGTTACAAGCTTTTGTTTCTAATGTTTCATCTGTTTTTTTCATACGCATGTTGCAAGTGTGTTTACCAAGATATTGCATATGTTTCACACATATGTTGCAATCTGGATGTTGCATATGTTTTGCAATGGTTTTCAAGTGTTTTTTTAGGTGTTTTTACAAGTGTTTCAGACGCATGTTTCAAGTGTTTCATCGGCCTTCAGATGTATGTTTCAAATGTTGCATCTGGATGTTTCAAAAGTAGATCAGGTGTTGCATATGTTGCAAAGGGACCCACCTGCCTTAGCCACCTGCAGCAGCTGCTGGGGTGCTGCCGAGCGAGCACAGACGGCAGAGGGGGCGTGAGCGGTCCCCACGTGACGTCCGGGCGGCGCGGGCCCTATGTAGGCACGCAAAACGCAGGCGCGGCGGGGCGTGCAGGCGCAGGGGCAGAGCACAGGTGTGCATGGGAAACGAAGTGCAAACGCGGGCGTCCGTCCAGACGTCC